CAGGAGAGGTCTGCCGCGCCATGTGGTTGCCTCCGGGGCAGGCGGGAATCTAACTCATGAGGAAGTGGCTTTAGATTCTCAGTGCTGTGCTTTAACCCGCTGCGCCACCAGGGAGGGCCCAGAAGTGTTTTGTTTTTTAACTCAAGACTAACATCAATGGCTGGAATATTGAAAAAGCAGAGCTTTCCCAAACAGGCGGTGCAAAAAAACTGACGATTTTGGTTCTTGAGGTACCTTCTGGTTGACTTAAAAAATGGGACATCAGTGTCTTTCTTTACAGTCATCTTCTTCTAACAGTAGAAGGGGCCAAGGGCAGATCTCCACCGTGGGTCAGCAGGCAGAACCCCGCGTCCAGTCCCTAGACGCTGCCCAGAGGAAGCCCTGATGGACCGGAGGAAAGTACAGTCGCTTCTCTCTGGTCTGAGAAGTGGAAACCAGAGGACTGGGCCTGCTAGACACAGGAGGCCAGAGGTGCCCATGGGTGGCATGAAGAGTACTGGGTCTACAGGGAAGAAGTAGGAAGCAGGAAGCAAAGTAAAAGCCAGATGCCCAATAAACCCTTAAGGGCATGCTTAGGGGGTGGGTGAGGGAGGGGGCTAGGAAAAGGGCATAGACCACAATCCCTAAATCACACATATAAGGCTTGGTCCAGGGAAAAAAAACCAAAAAACACTGGAATATTAGGATTCAAAATTTGGTCCTGATATTTAAAGTTTTGAAAAGCCACTCTAAGTCACTGAGCAGTACCCAGGTTAGAAAAGCTCCAATATAACATGAACTCACCAATAAATCTTTAATACCATGTCCTCTTTTTTGTAGTAGTTTGTGCTTCGGAAGAGCCACAAAAAGCAAAAATCAATGGAAATAAATATGGAATAAAATCAAAGACTTTAGTTTATCAGCATTTCCTGAGGCTGAATCTCTGACACCAAAATATGACACACTCTTTCATTTAAAAAGTCATGTTTCTTATTTACAGATAGAAGAAGGAAGGTTTTAAAATCTCTTTAACCAACTAGATTAGTAGGAATCTACTTCAATAATTAACTTATTTTTGAAATGTACTCTATGCATATATACAAAATGAACTGAAAAAAGAGAAGGAAAATCAACCTGTTTTAACACACTGAAGATGGAGATCACTGAGTGCCAACATGGGGCTCATTCCAACCATGTTACCCTACACTCTGTTCAGTGGTCAGTAACCTATTTAACACCACCACTAAATCCCTCCAACTGTCCTAAGCCTAACTATAGAGAGGGAATGGCAGACTTTAACAGTGTCATGCTCCAGAGTAGCATATGCATTATTATTTACTATGATTCACGCATAAAACTTTTGATTTCCTTCAAGTCCTTGAGATGTATAAAAGCAAACTTAATGGGTTCTTAACACTCTTAAAAGCAATATTAAAAAAAAAAAAGAAGAAGAAGCAAAAGACCAAAGTTCAAGCAATAAAATTCCATTCAAAGCTCAAAGATCCAGCCTGATAGTTAAGAAAACTATGAAAGCCATTTTGTAAAGCTGCACCAAGAACTGAAAATAGTTTGAGTTTTCGTTAAAAATGTCTGTTTTGCATGGTAAGTTGATAGCTTCCTTTTACACATTGAGTCGATCATAATGCTGTAATGTCACCAAAATGTCGACCTTGGAAACATCTGAGTGAAAAGGGTCCAAGCACAATCTGCTTTTCTCAAGCAGTACAACACCCGCCTCACTAGCAGTTTCAGCGTGGCACACGTACAAAACCTCGCGCCCTGCAGTTAAGCAAACCGCCTTTAAATTTTCTGTCTGGCAGCAACCCACTGCGTGTCTGTGTGTTTTTACAAGTACTCTATGTATTTCATTGCATCAGCTGCATTTCTTTGAGTTTTAAATGGTCTGGGAACATTTTATGAAATGTTCTATATCTTTATATGGAAAATAACATACACTGGAAAACTGTGCATCTAATACTTATATATCTATTTCTTTATCCACCATCGAATGCTATAATTGCTCAAGTTCCAAAACACCTTCTCACATTCATACCCTCACCGCCAAATGCAGTGTCATCAAACAGCTAACTTTCAACACAAAAATCTGCAACGAGAGTACGATTGTGGAAAAAAGTTAACAATTTGCTTAGGCAACTGGCAGGGAAAACAGTAATCGGTGAAATGTCAAGCTTTTTCTCTAAGAACTGGGCCTCAGACAGAAAAGTTAAGTACATGATACAGGGATACAAAGCACACCCTTAGTAAAGTTCTTCCAAATGACAAATTCTTACAAACTTAAAAATTAACTTTATCATCTCCCAAGAAAACACTTTTAACAGAAAGTATGACATTTAAAATACCTGCCCAACAAGCTGTATGGTCAATAGAGGACATACATGTTTCACCCGCAGAAGCCTAAAAAAGGCAGCTGGCCCTCCAACAAGGCTTCACACCGCATCTGGTCAGTGTGCTGGGCCCGGCCTCCCCCACCCCAGCCAGCCACACAGAACTGACACCACTGCAGGCCACAAAAAAGCCTTCCTGTATTTTGGCATTTCACAGCACAGGACTCTCGACAGCACCATCTCTTCCACGCACAGACCATGACGGCACTTCATAGCAGATAAAAAAGTGAACCCAGAACAAATGTCTAACTTAAAAAAAAAAAAAAAGGCTTAATTTCTTCCATCTCAACAGTCCATGTTCTCTAGTCTTCTACTGTAACATACTTTTAAATCTTTAAGATATACCAGATTGCCACAGGATGTTGAATTAATAGAATAAGAGTTTGGGCAAGAGTTACTGGAAAGGTGCTATAAATTATTTTACACAGGCTCCAAAACCTTGAGTTCTGCCTTAGGCTTAAAGTTCCTAGAAAACGTGGTAGACAGATCTTTTACAACAGAAATGCAAAATAATTCATAAAAGTCCTGTGGTTATGTATGAGGGCTCATTTGTAGATCAGTAACTAGTATGTGTACACACTCACACACACACCCCTTGCCAAATAATTTTCCCATTTTTCTCTGTCACACCAGTAACTCCATTAGAAGGGTCAAGGCATGTCACGTTTTGAACTGATTCTTGAATAACACAATGACTTCATTTTCAGTGAAAGGCAGAACAACTGCTTACTAACCTAATGTTACAACCTTCCATAGCTCTATTAGGAAATTTAAGAGTAACTGCCAATGTAGCTGCAGACCCCGGAGTCTAAGCTGCTTTCACTTTTAACGGGCTAGGTATAAAGGCAGCAAACAGTACATTTAATGCCTTCTCGACTTGCCTAGTGATTATCTATCTCTATGATATTTCATGAGAAAATATGAAACACATTTTAAGCTC